CCCCCCCCCCCAACTCGGACTTGGATCCACTTCATGCTTCACCACACACGAAACCCGCACTCCGACAGCTAAGAAGTGTGCATGAATTTTATTTTGGTAGCGAATAGTTGAGAATATGATTCTTTTTTTGTTTTTCAACAGGGTAGGCGGGGGGCTTCTTGTTGCACTTGGATCCATATGTTGCTTCACCACACACAGAACGTGCACCGGGCCACTAAAAAGTGCATGTGAATTTTTTTTTATTTTAATATATACTTAGGAAATATGTTTTTTTTTTTTTTTTCAAGTTGCGGGCAGGGGGGACTCCGCCCCCCCCTTCCGCCCCCCCCCCCCCAACTCGGACTTGGATCCACTTCATGCTTCACCACACACGAAACCCGCACTCTGGCATCTAAGAAGTACGCATGAATTTTTATTTTTTTGGTAGCGAATAGTCGAGAATATTATTCTTTTTTTGTTTTCTTTAATAGGGTACGCGGGGGGCTTCTCGTTGCACTTGGATCCATATGGGTCGCAGATCGCCAACAGCAACAGCAACCTGCAGTTCGATAGCAGCCACAGACCAGCACTTAGATGGCGATCACGCCTAACAGCGGAACATCATCCGAGACCTCGACATCTAGCAATGCCGAACCATTGCCGATCTGTCCTGCTCAAGGGCCGAATGAGTCCATCGCGGACTACATTCAGAGAGTGTAGACCTATACGGCCGCACCAACCCTTGCCAAGGAACGGCAAGATGTTGCCGAAGCAGACAAACAATGGTTGGCGGCAGAAGCTGCAGCCCAAGCCCAGCGACAAGCTGAGGCGGAGCAGTTGGCGGCCGACAAGCTCAACGCTGACAGTGCCGACCTTCTGATCGCTCAACACGATTAGTGGGCCGCTGTGCTCAACGGGATGCGTTATGTCCCCGTAGCAGGCGCCGAGCCGACGGCAGTACAGCAGGAGAGACAAAACCTGGCAGGCATTCTACTATGCACAATGCGCGTAGTCATCTGGAACAACACCATGGGGCACCTTCATTCCAGGTCTACACGACAGCTGCAACACGATCTTAGCCATAACGTGAAGACGCTGGCAGCAACCATCAAGGTCGCGGACTCCCAGCTACAACAGATGGACACCCGCATTGCTATTCTGGAGGCAAGGCCTTCCCAAGGAGCGTCAGGCTGCACGACAGACACGGCGAAACAGCTCAACGAGCGCATCGACCATGTCGTCAATCTAATTGGCGAACTAGGTGATTTCACTAGTCCGGCCACGATCAGCAGCACGGTGGCCACCGTCAAGACGGACATCACCAAGCTGCAGACAAGACCGGACGCCGCTACAAAGAACTACAAGATGCCGCACTTCAACATCAGCAAGTTTGACGACTACAACAAGACGGACGCCCTGGCATGGTGGCAAGGTTTCCTCACGGAAGCATCCTGCCGCACTGCCCCGACTGAAGACATGATGAAGGCGCTCTACCTCCAACTGATTGGAGGAACACAGACATGGATGAACCATCTGGCGGCCACCAAGAAATGCACCATCGCCGAACTCCACAAGCGCATTCAGTGGAAGGAGTTCGAGCAACTGTGCTTCACTCGATTCATGGTCCACAACGTCGTGAAGGCGACCATGAACGAGGTTTACACCAGCTCACAAGGAAGCATGCCAACTCAAGACTGGACGATCAAGTGGCAGAAGATAGTGACCATACCAGGTTTCGATTTGAGTTTTCCAAATCAACGATCCGAATTCTTTTCGCGATCGTGCGCGGGACTGCGGTCGGCACTCGACAACGAGTACGACTATGCCTCATTCCACGCTATTCTGGATCGTGCAAACCTGGTCATCCAAACGGATGACAAGGCCGCTAGTGAACGGCAGTCCCAGCCGCACTATGTGGCTAAGCAGGGCTATCAACGACCGACACATAACAATGCCGTGATTTATGAGAAATCAGTCGATCTCCACGCTGCAGCAGCATCCTCGAGTGACGGAGGAACTGTCGCAGCGCTCCCGCCGAAGCGTCCCAAGAGAGTTCGGAAGAACAAGGCGACACAAGCGACGACATCGACGAGAACTGGGCAGCAACCATGGACGGCATACAACATAACTAAGGAAGTATTTGATCTTCATCAACGGTACGGATATTGCCTTTGGTGCAATGGTGTCACTCACTTGACTGCACAATGCCCGGTCAAGGGCAAGGCACACGTACCCCGTCCTGCTAACTTGGGAAACTGAGTTACGCAAGGAGAGGGGCGACACCTCTCCTCACTCCGCCGGAACCGGTTGCCTTGCTAGCAACCGATGTCACTACCGGGGAGCATGCGTTAGTTGCTGATTCTCATGCTACGTACGAGGATTATGCCGCCCAGCTGGTACCACCATTAGACCAGCCTAGCCACGTGCACTTAGATAGCGTATGCGCATCATGTACACCGTCGGCAAGTGATCCGGTCAGCTCGCCACTGATTTCCGAGGACTCGACGGTGTGGTAAAGACTTGAGGAGCTTGACCCGCTCACGAGAACCGGAACCTCGCCAAGGCCGCATTGTAACGCCTTGATGGCCAATCTACACTCCTATTTGCATGCTGCAATACCAGCTCCATTGACGGATGACGGAGTAGCGGTTGTCGATCTCCGCTCCTATCTTGCGAAGATTGACCGCGAGCATGCCACCCAAAGGTACGCCAAGGCCGACGCGCCTTTGCTCTATATCCGCATTCAAATCGAAAAGGCAACCCTTGATTGATTGTGGAGCATCTCGCAATTTCATGCGCCAAGCCTTTACGGCCGGCGCAGGCCTTGGCCCGCGCGTTCGAAGGAAGACGCAACGCAAGTTACACTCGCGGATGGCCGCACGCAAAATTCCATTGACCGATGCGTCGATGGCGTTCCGGTATACTTTGCGCCACTTGCGTGTGAGCCGGTGTCTTTCGACATCCTCGACACCAAGTTCGACATGATTCTAGGCATGTCTTGGTTGCGTAGCGCCGATCATCCGGTGAACTTTCATGACGGAACCGTTCACATCCGTGATCGGAACGGAGTGTTAGTCCCATGTACGGTTGCGACCCCTCACACTTCGATTGCTTGTCACGTGGTTTCGGTTGCGAGAATTCGCGACGCCATAGCTCGGAATGACGTCGAGGAAATGGGCCTTGTATTCTTGCATGCTCTCCCCTCGCCAGACGAACCAGCCGCGTCACTGCCAGACCCACGCATTTCTCACCTCTTGGACGAGTATGGAGACGTCTTCGAGGTTCCCACCGGAACGGTTCCGGATCGGCCCATATGTCACGGGATCACTCTCGAGACGGGCGCCGTCCCTCCGCGTGGATGCATTTACCGCATGAGCGAAGAGGAACTCGAGGTGCTTTGCGCAGAACTCGACGACCTCCTTGACAAGGGCTGGATTCGCCCTAGTTGTTTGCCTCACGGTGCCCCTGTTCTCTTCGTCCGGAAGAAGAACAAAGATCTACGGTTATGCATCGATTATCGAAAACTTAACGCACAAACCGTAAATAACGTCGGCCCTCTCCCTCGGATTGATGATCTCCTTGAGCGGTTAGGCGGCGCAACGTACTTCTCGAAGTTGGACTTAAATTCGGGTTATCACCAGATTGAAATCCAGCCTCAAGATCGGTACAAAACCGCGGTCAAGACGCGGTACGGGCACTTTGAGTGGATTGTCATGCCATTTGGCCTCACCAATGCCCCCACGACTTTCCAAGCAGCTATGACGACTGAGTTTCACGACTTGCTCGACCGCAGCGTCCTCATCTACCTCGATGACATCTTGGTTTATAGTAGGACGTTGGACGAGCACATCGTACACCTTCGCGCTGTTTTGGATCGTTTGCGACTGGCCAAGTACAAAGTGAATCACGACAAGTGCGAGTTCGCCAAGCAGGAGCTTGAGTACTTGGGTCGCTATGTCACGCCGAAAGGCATTCGTCCCTTAGCGAACAAGATCCAAACCATCGTGGATTGGCCAGAACCTCGTTGCACGACGGATGTACGCTCTTTCATGGGTTTGGCTGGATATTATTAACGATTCGTCGAGTCATACTCGAAAGTGGCCGCTCTCTTGTTGAGACTTCAGTCCCCAAAGGTGCCCTTCGAGTTCGACGACGCAGCCCGTGGCGCGTTCACTACGTTGAAGGCCAGCCGCACCTGCCCTCCGTATATACGACCCCACCCTTCCCACCCAAGTGACTACGGACGCTTCGGGATACGGTATTGGTGCGGTGTTGGAACAGTGTCACGAGGACGGTTGGCATCCGGTCGAGTATTTCTCCCAAAAGGTGCCTCTCGTCAGCACTCTCGACGATGCTAGAAAGAAAGAGCTACTCGCGTTCGTCACCGTTCTCAAACAGTGGCGCCACTTTCTTCTCGGTCGTCGGCGTTTTAAATGGAATACGGACAACAATCCGTTGACCTTTTATAAAACGCAGGATACGATCACTAGCACGATCAATCGATGGATGTATTACATCGACCAGTTCGACTTTGACCCGTGCCACATTCCCGGTCCCGCCAATCGAGCTGCGGACGCCCTCTCACGACGGCCCGATTTTTGTGCCATTGTGACCACAGCATTCGACCTCGATGACGATCTGCAGCCGCATTTCGTCAAAGGCTACAAGTCTGATCCGACTTACTCTACGCTTTACGTGGAGCTTTCATCGCATCACCGGCCGGCTAGCCATTATCGGATTTCCGATGGGTTCCTCCTCCTTCATACGAGAGGAAAGGACTTGTTAGTTGTGCCCCAAGATCGTATCTTACGGACTCGTCTTCTTGGCGAATTCCACGACGCACGACTTTCAGCACACCTTGGCGTAAACCGCACATTAGCACGCCTCCGCCATCGTTTTCACTGGCCCGACGTCCTTCACGACGTCACGAGGTACATTGAGTTATGTGCAGTTTGCCACCGTAACAAGGGTCGATCTCGAGTCCCCTTCGGCGAACTGAAACCGTTGCCGATTCCTCAGGCACCGCGCCTCTCCATTGCTATGGACGTGACATGCCCGTTCCCCCTCGATCGCCTCGACTATGACGGTATTCTCACGGTCGTTGACCGTTTGAGCAAGTATGCTCGCTTCCTTCCTTGCAAGTATCATGTTGCAGCGCCTGAGCTTGCACGACTCTTGCACACCGGTTGGATTACCAWCCAGGGTGTTCCGGAAGACATAGTGAGCGACCGAGATACTCGCTTCATGTCGGCCTTTTGGACTTCCCTTATGGCTGAGTCCGGTACGACAATGAAGCCGAGCTCGGCTCGGCACCCGCAGACGGATGGCTAGACGGAGCGAGCGCACCAGACCGCTCAGATGATGTTGCGTACACTCATCCGTCCCGACCACAAAGATTGGGTTGACCGGCTTCCCGACATCGAGTTCACCTATAACACTTCGGTGCACCCGGCGATCTGCGTCACACCATTCAAGTTACATCATGGTGGAGAGAAAGCACGGATCTTCGCTGATCTCCTTCTACCACGGGCCGCCGACATAGATGTCCCTTGCTCTCCCGCTTCCGTTCGGAAGTACCGGGACTTGCTGATCAAAGCCCGAGCGAATATGCAAAAGGCTCAAATCCGCATGCAGCAGCAAGCTAACCGGCGTCGACTCCCATGTCCTTTTCGTGAGGGAGACCTTGTTTGGGTCCTCTCCGAGGAATTTGCGCTCGAGCAGGACGTTTTGCGCAAACTCCTTCCGAAATGGTTCGGACCATGGGAAATTACTTCTGCCGTTGGAGACGACCGCGCAGGTCCTTCCTTTGTGGTCAACAATCCCCCGCACCTTACAGTGCACCGGGTCTTCCACGCGTCGAAGCTGGCCATCTACACACCACCTTCTGCTGACGAGTTTCCGGACCGACGATCACAGGATCCGCCTTCTATGGACGGACATCAGGAAGTCGACCGAGTCATCACGCACCGCAAGTATGGCAACAAGCCAATGCAGTTCAAAGTCACATTCAAGCAATGTGCGTCTGACGACACTGGTGGATCTCCCGAGCAGACTTGCAGACTTCTGCACCCTTGATCTTCACCGACTATGAGAAGCGACGACTTGCCAAGGAAGCAGTTCGGCCCACCCGACCCACCCTGGTATCGGACAGACAACTCCGCCCTCGCAGGTAGCTCGGTCTTTTAAGAGGGGGAGTGTGTTACATCTTCGATGCCACGGTAGGACCCGACTTAGGGCCAAGGGGACACAGTAGGGCCTAAAGGCCCAGACTTGGGGGTACAGCAGGCCGAAAGGCCGCATTTTGGACCAGACCCGACGGGCAGGCCCAAATGACATTACCGTTTGGGCCTGGCGGCGGCGCTCTTGAGGCTGCCGCCCGCCGGTCCGATCTGAACCCACGATCTCGACGGTTCAGGTCACGCCCAGGCCTCGCAGCATTGAGGCCGGCCTCGTTTCCACCGGTACTAAAGACCGGTCCAGTCTCATTGTGAGGCATCGAGCACTGGGACGCTGCTAAAGCGCCAGTAGTTTCGGTTTAGCAAAGGAGCGTTAGCGCCAGCGCTATTCCTAGCGCAGCGCGGAGGAGCAGCAGCAGCAGCGAGCGAGGAGCCAGGCAGCGGGCAGCCATAGCCGACTTCGGCTTCAGGCAGTTGAAGTAAACCAGGTACTCGGGGGTGAGGTCTTCTCCTCCCTCCACAGTCCCTGGTTCCCCTCCTCCTCACCTCTCTCCTCCTCTGTTCTCTTCTTCTTCTTCTCTTCTTCTTCTTCAAACGTCTTCTTCCTCGTCTTCAGACTGGAGACTTGATACTAGTTGGACAAAGATCAGTGTTGGACTTCGGTGGTAGTAGGCTGTGGTACTTACCGGAATCGAGACTTGGAGATTGTTGGGGTTGATACTCGGCGGCATCACAGATTGGACACCGGTTACATTAGGACTCTGTACCTCCGACATTGGTGACTTATTGTCCACGACATTTTGATCTTGTTCGATGACATTTTGGACTACCATATCGGTGACCTACTGGATTCTATCTCTGTGACATATGGCGTTGCCTACATCTCCCACCTCCTTTGTCTCTCTTCCCACCTTTCATTTGTGTATGTGTGTACGGGGCCTGAGCATCGTCTATGATTGGCTCAGACCCCACCATCTCACGATTGTTTGTGTGTGGAGTGATATCTGTGTGAGTCAGTCTATGTGAGTTAGTCCATTTATCAAACTTCCGTTGCATACATGCTCATCCTATATTGGTTGATCTCTTGGTTCTGCCCATACTTGTTGAAGTACTCACAAGTATGCAACATGCTTCCTCTACATCATTGCGTGGAGACTGGGTGGTTGGGTGCCACGTGTTGCCACGGGAGAGCGTTAGTACGTGGAAGTAGGAGAGGATATGATGACATGCTTTCGCTACAGCTTCACAGCCAATGGTGTGGTGGACAGGAGGTGATGCTTTCCCTACATCATCACGGGTTTACAACATTTCCCTTTGTGTTTTGCTCTGACATCCTTGGTATAGCACGACAAGAAGAAGTGATCCGACATTATTGCCAACTACGTACCTTGGGAGGAATCATTCTTCGCTGTCTTGCTTTTAGCATTGGATGCTCATGATGAGAGGAAGCGAGACGGCAAGGGGTGGGGTTTTCATATTTTTGTAAGATTAATATTGTAAAAGCAGGTCGTGAAGCCAGAGTTGCTGTCTCATTTTTTAAACTTCATTCATAGCGCGGCATATTCATACCAAGAGGAATATGGTTGATAACTATAAGTTCATATCGTGAAGAAGCGAAGTATCTAGGGTCGCAGTCTTCGCCACGGGTAAAAGTGGATCGTATGTGTTGCCACGTGGCAGGAAGACAAATTAATACCAAATCATTCCTTGTGGCATGAACCAAGGTTCATTTGGTAGACCAGATGCTGGGAGTGTCACGCCACAGAAAGACGGGGTAGCACCACCTTGTATTAAGTGCATGTGGTGGACCAGATGTTGACGATTTCGAAGAGAGTACGATCTCAGGCCGGTGCGAAGGCGTAAGAGGGAAGTGAACGAGGGAGCGGACACCACATTGGAGGGTAATCAAAGAATACAGTGAAGTGCCTCGTGCCTCCTTCCCTGTCCTCGTTTTCACTTCCTTCCTGCTTCCTCACTGTTTTGGTTTCTCCCAGCCAGAAAAAAAAAGGGAAAGGAAGTGAGAATCAACGCACCCTAATTTGTGTCAGAGCTCTCATTTCTTTCTATCGTGGCTTCTTTGGTCATTTGAAACAGGATTCCTCTCTCTGTTGAGGAATTCTAAGACACCATGACTCGTATCATTCGTCATCGGAGGGTTCACAGACAGGTTGATTCTATGCTGATGTTTCGTGGGGCAATGAGACAAATATCACACAAACAATTACACACATCGATAAGACAAGTCCTGCAAGACAAACGAGCACATGTTGCATCTACAAAGAAAAATGAACCACTGTCTGTTACCCTTGATGGTGAGATCCTTACTGAGGAAGAGAGGGCTCTTCAAAATCTAGCCCCCTCTCAGAGCTCTCTCTGCTCTCCCGTATCCCCGCACAAAATGTTGCGTGCCAGCTTCCATTCTTCCTCAATGGCTTCCCTCATCACCTCTCGTGTGGGGAGAGGAGGGTGAGGTGGCAGCCAACACAACCAGGCAATGGTGATTAACCCATTGTATGGTTTGGAGGATGGCGGGGGAGCTGTTGCTAAGTGCTTAGGAGCGAAGGTTGTACGAGATAAATTGCTCACAGAAGAAGAGTCTTTTTCAGTTCAACATGATTCCATCAAAGTTAACCAAAGAATGAAATCTATTGGAAACGATCTACAGCACGTTCCAATCACCTCTCATTATGAACTGGGATTTCCTACTTTACGAGAGGCAGTGGGGAGGAGTGTTGGAAATCAAGGAGGGAGAGGGGGAGGAAGGAAGGGTGTGGGAAGTGAGTGGAGAGGTGATAAGGGAGGCGGGGGAGGAAGCGTCGGAAAGGGAAGTGGAGAGGAGGGCAGAGGAGGGGAACGTGAGAATAAAGGGAGGGAGGGAGCTGATAACGAAAAAGGAGATGAGGAGAGGATGGGGGGCCATGACAGGATAGAGCAGAGAAGTGCTTCTGCATTCTCATCAGGTCTGGCGACTGGGTCCCAACTACTTTCCTCAGTAGTAAAAGGAACAAATATCAATACGGAAAGAGTTCCTCAGTCCTCATGGGTCGAAAAGGCAAAAGGTCCCTTCCATACTAAGACCCTTGAAGTAAAAAGATCAGGCCAGCATGCTTCCTCCCTTCAAATCCCTCTCTCAAATTTTCCCTCAGCACGTGGCTTTTTTTTAATCTAAATTAATCATCCCCTCATAGAACAGGGTGGTTGACTGTGGGGGAAATAAATCTATGATCAAATTTTACCCCACTCAAAAGCTAGAAGAACGAGATGCAGTTTATCAGCAACACGCAAACAACTGGGTTTTTCATGATGATGCAGCGTTTAAGTCGGTCAATTAAAAATCAAATGGGTTAGTAGGCGTCTTGCTTTTTTTAAAGGAAGCCAAGAAGCTACAAAGGAAAATTTCCTGGTACAACTTGTTTCATCGACTGTCTTCACGGTACTTAGTATTCATGAAACTGACAAAAAGACGATTGATGGATGGAGAAAGTTGAGATGTGATCGATCGGAAGTCAGAATTTATCCATGGGCTCCCCCAAAACAGGGTCCGGACGAACGACGTCGTCAGATGATGGAGGATTTCTATTGGGTGGAATTTCGTCAAATCCCAATAGAAATCCAAGCCACATTCATCCACGATTTTGGGGAGGTTCATGATATTGTTGAGTTCATTGATCCCCTCCCAGCCTTTGCAGCAAGAAGAGACGACTATCTTATGTTGGTTATTAATCATCCCCCTAACCTTCCATTCACCATAGATGATGTAATTCCATACAGAGTGGTGGGGAAAACTTTTCACATTCATACGGCGCACAAACTGCATCCGTGGTGCTTCCGCTGCAAAGCCTATGGTCATCTTAGCACGGACCAGGCCTGTGAACAAAATCCATCACGCAGGCAAAAGGTGACAGGGAGGCTGATCAACGACCCTTTCAAAAACAATTTGTGGAGGACTATGGATCAAGAGCACGAGGGTTGGGTATATATTGAGGGGTCAGGTAAGGGCTCAAAACCTAAGGGATGGACGTGGGAAAAAGAGGGGGATCCGAACTGGGACACGAACGCCCCAGAAAGTTGGACACTCCAAGAACCAACAGATAAAGTTGTGAACAAGTCTACCTCTACCGCCTCCCCGTCTTCTCACATTTACCAACCCTTACCTGGTTCGCTAGGAAAGTCTGTATCAGCTGACTGGAGTCAGGGGAAGAAAGCAACACAAACTTTAGGTAAACTAAATCCATAGAATTACCTCAAAGATGAGGGGATTACCGTAAAGGCTGATGATTCGTCGTTTCAGATAACTGTGCCCCAAAAGGACAAACAGAATCAGGACCAAAACTTGGTAATGGAACAGGAATTGGACAGTGAACAGGAACCCTCACAGAATCTTCCACTAATCAGAAGAAGGAGAAGGTCGAAAATAAAAAAGAACAAAAAAGAATTAGAGGAGGGCCTCATCGGCAAAAGGAGGACGCGGGCCTTCAGCGGCGCGACGCAACCGGGAGCGGTGTGCCGCTCCGCTATTGACATGAGCCAGTTCGTGAGTTGGTGGTGTCTCTTCGGTGCGGCTCCCCGCGGGGGAATATTGAGGAGTTGATGTGGGCAACAAGCGTTACGGCGGCAGGCGATGGCGCGAGGTTCCATCGGTGTTTGTTTGGCGCGGCCATCAACGGGATGCTTCGGCTGAGGGTTATTCCAACCTTGATAACCTAGGCTGAAGAGGTCTCTTGCTCCGTGCCTCGTTGATGTGGTGTCGTGGGTTGACACGCTAGAGGAATGGAAGGTTGTCGTGGTGACTAGGACAATCTTCATGAGATCTTGGGCATGGTAGTGACCCTGCTCCTTTGCCCCTGCGCAAATCTAGTGGAGGTTGGTTGGGCAGTGCGGGCAGAAAGTAAGGAACGTCTTCTCATACGGAGTGGAGGAAGGAGGCTTGTTATAAGCTGGAGCGTTATAAAGAGTTGGCAGTTTAAGGCGTTCATTTGAGTTGGTTCATCGGCAAAAGACACGAAAGCAGGTAGCAGCGCAATAATTGCTCTTCGCTTCGGCTACCTTTTCAAATTGTTTGCAGGTAGCAGCGTAATAATGACAGCGGCGATGGAGTAGGAGAATTTCGTGCGAACATGTGAGGTGCTGCTTCGCTCTTCGCTTCGGTTACCTTTTCAAATTGTTTTCACTAATTGTTCACCGGTCAAAGAAACGGAAGCAGGTTGTGGCGATGAAGCAGGAGAATTTCGTGTGAACATGTGTGACGCTCTTCGCATCGGCTGCCTTTTTCAATTAATTTCGCAGATTTTAATTTTGCATATTCTGATTTCCTATATTCTTGCTCTGATCTAGTGCTTACACAGTTATAAACTCAGCTTCTCAAATTTGTAAAAATAAACTTACAATTTATCTTCTATTTTCTTATCAGCCAAATTTTCATCTACATATACACACATACACACATGTCCTTGAATTTCAACTATAATTTCTAAAAGTCCCAAGTAAAGTATTTTCATCTTCATGTACCCATATACACACTAACATACATCATCCATTCAGAATCGCTAACGTAATTCGTAAGGATCTGTTCTATAACTATGTATCCTTGAATTTCGATTATAATTCTACAAGTCTCAAGTAAAGTTCTATTAGGATTTCCTAATCTTGGAACCCAAAAACTTTGGAATCTCTCCGTTAATTAGTTTGTTGGTTCTTTTAAATTGGTGATACATGCACATGGTGGGAGCTGCCAAAAGTTCATTGGCGCAAGACCAAGGGGAATAATTGTAATAGTCTTACTGCTGCTCTGCACTTTCTTCAGTGGTCGTTCTTAAAGATATAGGAGAACAGGTTAACCGAGCACCCATTTTTCAGACCCATTTATAAGAAAAGCAGACAGTCATTTTAACAACACTTCACACCAATCTATAGAGTGCACTTCTTACGACCCCATCACAGAAAAAAACCCTAAAAAAAACAATTAAAAA